CATTTTTTTGCAGTAATCCAGAAAAAGAAAACGGAAGGAGGCACTGCATGATTACATGATAATCATGACTCTTCAAGCTAGTAAATTTTCCTTCAGATTTGTCGACGTTGTTACGCAAAATTGACGAATAACCATCTGGAAACGTCACTTCATCGGTGATCCAATCAAAGAACACCTCATTCGCAGCTGCACCAAGCCGATATATTGGAAAAGAAGTCACACCGTTCTCATCAACGTGAAGTTCAGAACGATCACAAATGTCGACTAAATACAATCTTGACTTCAAATTATCCTTCGTTGTACCTTGGACGTTAAGGATTGTGTTCATCAGATTATCGAAAAAGTTCTTCTCAATATGCATGACATCTAAATTATGCCGCAACAGATGATCTTTCCAGTATGGCATATCCCAGAAGATACTCTTTTTGTGCCAATTGTGTAGTTGTCCAACAGCATCGGGTCAAATATTTTCATGTCCACCAACGTCTGGCGTCCTTTATGCACCAAAATCCCTTAACTGTGTCAACAAACCTCCCCCACAATTTTTTCTGGTGGACTGTCAAACACCTGTTTGTTCTTCGTAAACAAAGTTCTGCTCCTACGGGACGGATGATCGGGTGGTAAAAATCTTCTGTGACAGTCAAACCAACACGTTTTTCTTCCGTGTTTTAGTTGGAAAACATCTGTGTCATCTTGACAATGTGGACATAGTCTCCCATGTGTTGTCCATCCCGATAACATCCCCTATGCTGGAAAATCACTTATTGTCCACATAAGTACTGCTCGCATCTGAAAGTTTTCTCTGCACGAAACATCGTATGTCTCAGCACCATGCGCCCATAGATGTTGCAACTCATATATTAGTGGCTGAAGAAACACATAAAGTGATCTCTTAGGATGGGCTGGCCCGGGAACAAGAATGGAAAGAAACAAAAACTTTCTTCGCATGCACAAATTGGGCGGCAAGTTATAGGGGGTCAGAATTACTGGCCATACTGAATATTGTCTTCCATGCTTTTAAAATGGGCCGAAACCATCAGTACATAATCCAAGATAGACATTTCTTCTCTCATGGGCTAATTCTGGATATTTTGTTTGGAAATGTTTCCATGCTTTTTCATCTGAAGGATGTCTAATCTGACCATTTTGTGGAGTGCTCTGCATGTCATCTCATTGGTTGGACTGTGCGTTCAGACTGATATAACCTCTTCAGTCTTTCAGTCAAAGGAAAATACCACATCCTTTTGAATGGCACCGGTACTCTTCCCCTTGTATCTTGATGACGAGGTTTCCCACAAAATTTGCATCTATCCCGATTCTCATCTGCTCTCCAATAGATCATGCAGTTGTCGATGCATACATTTATCACCTCATACGGTAAACCAAGACCCGCTACCAATTTAACCTCGTAGTATGAATCCGGTGCAAGATTATATATCCTCCGGTAGAACATCTTTAACAAAATCAGCAATCGCATCAACGCATTCTTCTGCAAAATTATAATCTATCTTGATACCCATCAATATAGTTGCAGATGATAAGGGAGAATGACCATCTCTACAACCTTTTTACAAAGGTTGTTTTCCTGCATCTAACATGTAAAAAAAAACTCCTAGATTCTGCATTCGGTTCCTCCCCCCCCCCTATAATGATCATTTACCATCTGCTCAATACATACACCATAATCTATATCCGTTGTACGTTCTTCTACCCTATCCACATGCTGAGGTTCGCTTGTACTAGCAATTTCATAACCAGTTTTCCCATGAAGATACCAAATTTTATAACTCTGTGTAAACCCACTTATATATAAATGAGTCCAAACATCTCATTCCTTAGTAACCTTACTATTATTGCATGAAGAGTAGGGACATCTTAACATACCGGTTTTTGCTTCCCGTGATTGTTGTACAAGCCTCATGAATTCACGAATACCTTTCATGTATTCATCCGTAAGCAAATTGGTTTTTGGATTCAAATGTGGTTTATCCATCCACGATCGATAATGATTTGTATAAGACATGATTGTTATTTTCGGATTTGTAGAGTGTGAAGAGAGAATGAAGAGTGGATGAGGAAAAAGTGGTGAGGAGAGCTTGTATTTGTATAGATGATAGTTGCTGGGGACAACCAACGAAATTTCGACCGTCCAATGTTCGTTGGAATTCCGTCGGAATAATAAACGGTCAAAAATCCCGTTGGAATTCCGTCGAAATGTTGAACGATCGAAAAGGATCGTCGGAAAGTTGTCGGAATTGTCGTCAATATTTCGTCGAAATTCCGAACGGTCAAAATTTCCGTCGGAAATGCGTCGGAAAGCTGAACACAAAATCTGCGGTCGAAAATATTCCGTCAGAACCTCATCGAAATTCGCAACGTTCAAATTTTCCGTCGAAATTTCGTCAGAAATTTCCGACCGACAATAGTTTTCGAACTGTTGTCGGAATTTCCAACGAAATTTCAACGACTAATAAAATTTATATTTTCTCGGATTTTTGTCGGAAATCTATCGGAAAATTCTGATGGCGTACGTGTCTGTCGAAACATCCGTCGGGATGTTCCGTGTTTTCTCGTAGCGATGAATAATTATGATACATGAATAATTATTCAAGAAATTATTATATAACTGTTAATTTAATGCAACGTCATGATAAATAAAACGCTGCGTTCTTTTCACTCTCGAAATACCTCGTCAAAATCTTCTTAACAAAATCAAGCCGCTTCTTCTTCTTGTATCTTTCCTGTTAAGACAAAAACGCTAATATATGTTTTCTCAAAACAACTCCATGTGTTCTAGAGATTTAATCAGCAGTTTGCCAGATGAGGTTCTCGGCAAAATCCTATCGTTGCTTCCGACAAGACTCGCTGCTTCCACAACGGTTCTGTCCAAGAGGTGGAGGAACCTGCTTGCTCTTGTAGACACCCTTGACTTCAGTGACGAAATTGGTAACCCTCGTGGCTTCTCTGATTTCGTGGACACAACACTTGCTCTCCTAACCAACTCTGATTCAATCGTAAAATCATTTTCTCTGAGAAGTAAACATGAGAGTTCTCGAATGGACACTTGGATTCGCACTGTCCTTGAGCGCGACTTCTTGGAACTTCACTTGAAAAGCGTGTCGATGCATTGTATAAAATCTCAGTTCTTCACGAGTAACACACTCGTCGAGCTTACTTTATATGGAGGGTTTTGTTTTGATGGCGTTCCTATTCCTCCAGGTGGCGTCTTCTTCCCGAAGCTCAAAACACTTAATCTTGTTTCCGTTTGGTTTTGGGATAATAATGTGTTTGAGTGTCTCATCTCTGGCTGCCCTGTGCTTGATGAACTGTTACTACATTATGATGATCCATCTGCTTCTAATGGGTTGGGCTTGAGTTCTTCCATTGGTGTCTCAAATCCTTCCCTTAAGAGGCTAAAGATCTCTTGTGGTTACCTCGAAGCTCCTGATGTTGAGTTGTTTCAGACACCGAGTCTTGTCTGCTTTCACTATTCTAGTTATGTCACGAGACAGTATGATGTTGACTTTAGCTCGCTTGTTGAAGCTAGACTGGATCTTAGATCATGCGAAGAGGAGCGAGTTATGGTTCTGAAGGAGGGTGGTTCTGATGATGATAGTTATTATGGTGAGGTTGATGTTATTAATTATGATAATGATAATGATCATGATGGTGGTAGTGCTTTCGGTGAATATGATGATGATGATATAGAGGATGAAGATGATAGTGAAGCTATACTTGATGTTGGATCACCGGAGAAAGTTTTAGATGAGGATGACAATGATAGTGGTAGTGGTGAGGATGATGATACAGAGGCTGTTGATGATGCTGATGATGATGGCAGTGGGGATGGTGAGGATATTCCTGATGTTACGGATCTGGTTGCAGGGATAAGCAATATTAAAACCCTGCACCTATCTTCGTATTCTCTTGAGGTCAGTTTTGCTACTTCTTCAGTTGACTGTTTCAGTTTGAAGTGCAAAGTTTCTTTCTTATATATGTTTTGATAATAAATAAATCTGTAGGTGTTTCACTTATACTGCAAATCAGTGCCGGTTTTTCAGAACCTCCTTACCTTATCCTTTGAGAGTGACAAAGAAAGAGGCTGGCAAGTGTTGCCACTTCTCCTCAACAACTCTCCAAACTTACAGACCTTAGTCATCAAGGTAAATAGATATCAACTTCGTTTAATACACACACCCCATTTGCTAAATTATTGTGCATGAATTTTGCTTGTGTCAATGCTTTCAGGGGCTTTTGCACAAAGTTACAGATAAATGTGGGGACGCTTGTGTTTGCATTGCTAAGAAAAATAAGAAGAAGAAGAAGATGGGGGACGAAGTATGCTGTTTATCAACATGTCAAGTGAAGGTTCTAAACATTTCAGAGTATGGAGGAACTCGTAGAGAGCGGAGACTGATGACACATTTCTTGGGAAATTTGGAATGTCGTGAAACTGTCAAGGTTGGTGTGAAAGCTAAGAATCAAGGAGAAGACAACAATAACTGCCAGAGAATCACCAATGCTCTTATTAAGCTTCCCAAAGCTTCATCAAACTGTCAAATTCATTGCCTTTGATTTCTTTCTTGCAATGTAAATCATTATGATCTTAATGATCTTTTAGATGTCAAACTTTTACTCTTCTAGTAGACCTTTTCTTTTTTATCAAAACTTTCTAGTAGACTTATTTGTGATCTTTAGAACTAAGTTACCACTCTTTTTAGGTTTATTTTCAGTTTCTAGTTTTTAAGTTTAAAGAAACATCAAAGTAATCGTTTGGTATCTTTCAAGAAAAGAGTCTCACAATGCCTAACTCAATAATTCACTTAACCAACTTGATGATGTAAGCATCAAAACAGTCAAACGTTGTAATTGGAGGCAAAGAAGATTCACGCATGAGACACCAAAGAAATGTTTAAACATCAAAGAAAAGAGGAAGGTAGGTTCAGAGGCAAGCAAATGAAAAGGACTTGCATAACCAAAGGTTATGGACAAAGAAAAGGCTAAGGCTTGATTCCTGTTACGTCCTGTATAAATTTGGCAGTAGCCGTATACGAAGATCCACCATTCAAGGTAGCTTTCCGCACCATCTGAGAGACATCTATCACTCTTTTCCTCACCAAATTATCATCCTTATTCATCACACAGCGAATCGCTCTCTCTATCTCGTTTGCACTTACAATCTCATCAACAAGTACCCTGTAATCAAGCTTCATCTCCCCTGCGAGTTTCAGCTCCTTCACCATCATAAACGCATTGAGTTGTTGCTCTGCGTACATGGGCCATGTCACAATTGGCACACCAAACCATAAACTCTCTACTATTGAGTTCCATCCGCTGTGAGAAACATAGCTTCCCACTGCCTTATGGGCTAGTATTTCCACCTGAGGAGACCAACCACATATCATTCCTCGTCCCCTGACACGGTGAAGGAACCCCTCTGGCAAAGGATCTTCATTTGACACCTCTGTAGTGCGGAGTGACCAGAGGAACCTGTACTGACAAAGCTCAAGTCCATGTGCTATCTCCTTCACTTGATCACCTCTTAACCTGCCCATACTCCCAAAACAAAGAAACACAACTGATGCCTCGGGCAGATCATCAAGCCATTTCATCAACTCATCACAACGGGCCATGTCCTGATCTGGATGAGGCTGGGCCTTGGGGTCAAATACGGGGCCTACAGCATAAACAGAAGGGTAATTCTGATCACTAAGAAAATGGTTCACAGAGTTAGGCTCAAGATCAAAGCAGCTATTCACTAGGATTCCCTTGGCCTCGGTAAACAAGATTGCCAGTTTGAGATAAGCATCATAACCATCTTCAACAAACAGAGCTGACGGTAGAACATTGGCTGGAACAGGGTTTACGAACCCAGGAACTGACAACATTTCTCCTGAATCTCTTATGAAAACCGATGTATCTTTACTATGACGGTATGCTAGATACCGCAACATAGCTAGGAAACCGGAGTTTGTAGTCAAGAACACATAAAAAGGAAGAGTTACATCTTTTGTAACGTCAATCATGGGGAGACAGAAGAAATCAGCAACTATTCCTTTCACCGTGACTCCAGGAGAAGATAAGATACCCATGATTATATCTCTTAGAAGAGGGATGTTTCTCTCAATAAAATTTTATACAAAGGCTTCCACAGACTGAGTACTACCAAGTGCTGGTTTCTCTACGAGTTCAGGGACATCAATGAATCTAACAAAGGGCTGAGACGAGGCGATTGAATTAACATAGGTATCCAGATGAGACTGACCTTGTAGCTTCATCAAGATGATGGTGACACGGATCCTATCATCCTGGTCAATGAGACGCGTAGCGAACTCAAGAAACGAAACAAGATGACCAACAGTTGGTGTTGGGATGAAGATGAGCTCTGTATTTTCCATCTCTAACAAGAGGTAGCTTGTGTTCTTGTGTTGACAAGAGCATCATCAATCTACATATCATAGAAGAGAATTAGTTACCTTGACTTTGTCACACATGATGATTACTGCTCTACCTAATGTTTGCGCTGGCCCTTGGCTGTTTCAAGAGAGAAGATAACTTAGATAGTTATAATAATGGCCGACGACATCAAGTGAGTGGGATCCACTACCAAAAGAAAGCTACTTTCTTGCATCTGTCCTTTTCTTCATTCTGATAAACTAATCAATCACAGTTGGGAGAATGAATGAGAATCTTGGAGGTTTGTTCTTGTTCTAGGAACCCTTATCTTACTCTTTGCATGAGCTTCAGGAAAACCATCGCAGCGACCACCAAATCCATCTTCAGAAACTCTACACAGCCTTATAACTTTTTAAGTCAGTCAACAAAACCAGAGTACGGCAATCACATAGTTCAACAACACATTGAATCGAACAAAGTAAAGCAAAAATAGAAGCTGAAAAGACGAATCTTGTTCACTGAATCAGATAGAACAAAGCTAGTTTTTTTGCATGCATCACTCTCTTTATTCGTTCTGATAAACTAATCATCAAATCATCGCAGAGACCAAAAGAATCTTCAGAAACTGTAGACAGCCTTGAGACTTTTTCAGTCAACAAAACAAATGACATAGCTTAAGAACTTGTTGAGACGACAAAAGATAAGTTTTTTTTTCACAAGGGAAGAAGTCACAGAATCGAAACAGATACAGAACAAAAACCATAACACAGAGTGGGATCAAGTAACTTGAGAGAGGCATACATACACGGTACAATAAAGACGAAATTAAACATAGCATAGAAGAAAAGAAAAAAAAGAGCTAGAAGTCATCATCACCGCCTTTGATCATAATCAAGGACTTCAGAATCAGTCTCGAGTGCTGCACAATCGACCTCCCAATAGAGTTGATCCACTCTTCCTTCTCCTTCTCGTTATCAGCTATGAAGAACATGGTGATGTTCCCACTCGATATCTCGAAGGCGAAAGGCTTGTTCACCACGTCCTCAGCTCCTTTCACCGTCAGACAATCTCCCACCGAGATCACCCCGCGCGGGATCGATCCGCGGGTTAAGGCGGCGGATTGATCCATGAACCAGAGGAGCTTCCCTCGCTTCAGCACGAACCAGCGTCGGCGCCAGGTCTTGATGTAATCGCCTTGCTTCGTGAGCCAGCCGGATCGCTCTGGGTTCGACCAGAACTCGATTCCTTCGTAATCATGCCGGTTCAGATCCTGGCCTGTTGCGATTCGCCAGATTTTCTCCATCTCTCTCTCTCTCTCTCTCCTAAAATCTTACACGCCTTTGTCTCTCTTAACTGTCTTTATCGATATTTTATTTTTCTTTTCTATCAACCAATTCTGTCAAAATGCAGCGTTTTGTTACTCTTGCAATAATTCGGCCGTGCTCACGCTGTGTCTCTGCGTATTGTCGGGACACGCACTTACTGTTGGAAAATTTTCATTAGTTTGTGGAAGTTGGATTTTGTTGATTATTATTGTAGTCACTAGAAATATAAAATTAAACATAAGTGATGAGAGCCTAACAATCTATACTAAAAAAACATTTAAATTTTATTGGTTTTTTTTCTTAGAACTCATATGAACTTTCAATATGAACTCATATTGGTTTAGTCATGATTTTTAAAAACTGAATTTCAACTCTCCAATCTCGTACAACAAACCAATCAAAACTAAACCAAGATAAAATAAAACCCGGCCAAATCTTGCCAGGATCAGAATAGTACCCAAACCCCACATTTGAACATAAAAAGATCCGACAGTAAGAAAACCCCCAATTCGATTTCTATCAAGAACCCTAAATTTTTTTATTCGATTCAAGCTTGGAGAAGAAGATGTTAGGTGGTTCAAGTACCGCATCTGGAGAAACGATTGTGGGGAGTTCTGCTCATTGTCGAGGTGGAATCATCACGGGAATTCCGAAGAGATACTGGTGCAGTGATGACGTTATTCCTTTGACGTCCAAATCTGATAAAAACCCTTACCGAAGGTACTTTTGTTGTGCTCATGCCGCAAGAAAGAGGGTAAGTTTTGTATAATTATTTTTTTGGGTTTGAAATTGATTGGGAATCATAATGTTGTTGTTGTTGTTGTATGTTTGAATTAATGTTGTAGCTTGAGAATGATAATCATATCTTTAAATGGATCGATGAGACATTGATAAATGAGATTGAGACATTTGAATTCAAGACCATGAGACTTGAGCAAGAGCTGAAAGAGATAGGACGGAAAGAGATGTTGTTGGCTGAAAGAATTCAAATGGAGGTGGAGACAAAGCTATTCGAGAGGGTGGAAGATGTCTTGGCTGAAACAAAAGTTAGCATGAAGAGAATGATGGTATTACCAATCATTGGATGTGCTGTTTTGGTATCATTGAGGTCTATCGTAAAGCATGATGGGAGTGATGAAGAAGAAAATGGTTCTTGTTGTCTGGTTTTAGAGCTAAGGTCATTATATTTATGATGTAAGAAAATTGTATTTTGTAATGTTTGTGCCTATGTAAGACATTTGTGTTTGATTTTGATGCTATGTAAAACAATGTTTTCTATGTTAATCTTCTTGCTTTTAGGACAATAAGTTAAGAAAAAGAGGTTTGAACACATAAAAAAGATACATTACGTTGGTATTGATTGAAATATATGTTAAAGTACTAATACCATCCAACAAAAGCCGACAAATAGTCTAGAAAATATCACAACAAAACCATAGACAACATGTCTTCATAGAAAACATAGAAAACATCCAACAAAAGCCTTGAAACATGGTCATCCAACAAAACCCGAGATAATACATAAGATATGACCATTAACACATGTCTTCATATCCTAAAATAGCATGACAGCCAGAACCCCTTGGAGAAGCAACCTAAGAAGCGTATTGAGATGCTGGAGAATAAACTTGTACTTGAGGAAGGACCTTGAGAAGCCTGCAAAAGAACCTAATTAGTCGATGTTAATATAGATCGGTGAATCAAAATAATTAACACAAACCTTATTCTTTGTATGAAATCTAGAGTTGTGATCAGAAACTCCACAAACACTACAGTGCATGGTACGTTTCTTGTGTTTTGGTTGTTTCATGGTTGGAGATTCATTTATGCCTTTCTTTCTTTTCTTATCTGCTTTGGTTATTTTCTTCTTTCCTGGTTGAAGTGGCTCTGGAGGAATATGCACGTCTGAAACATTCGTTGAAGGCGAATACAAAGATTCTCTCACAGGAACAAGTCCTTCAATATAGTTCTTCCTCCACATAGAGGTGCGAAACCATTGGCACACATAGTTCTCTGGTGCAAGCTTCTTATGTAGCAACACTCCGTAAGCATGCTCACAAGGAATCTCACAAATCTCAAACTTCAGGCATGTGCAAGTTCCCCTCTCTAAACTCACACGGTGAGTACACCTATTAAGCTTAACTTCAAACATTCCATTGGTACTTCTAGTTACTTTGCATTCAGTAGCTTTCTTATGCTCAGCCTAAAGAAAATCGATGACATAAGGAGTACAAAGAGCTGAAAGAAACACAATAAACATTCACTAAAAACAAAACATTAAATATACACCTTAAAAACTTTAAATTTACCTTTGTGATTATGGGAAATGGCTGAGCATTTGGCAATACGAGCCAGTGCCAGACGCCTAATTGTCTCCAGCATTGGAACAAAAGGCTTCTCTCTTGCATTTGCTATCGTGTTATTGAAGGACTCAGTAGAGTTGTTCTCAACATCTTCGCAGCAAGGACCTAATTTGTAGAAGGATCTACACCACGTTTTTGGTTTCGTCTTCAAAACATCTTCGTAGACCTCACTATCATAGTTGAAAATCCAGTCTAATCGTTGCTTGTACTCTGCTTCATTGTATCTCAATGCCAAACTCCATATATATGGCTTCATATCGTGTTTACTCCCATGTTTTTTCTTCAAATTTCAATAGATATGTCTGACACACATTCTATGTTCTATCTCTGGTAGCTCTTGCTGAACCATCTCTTCTATCTTCATTGGCATATAATACTCTGGTTCCTCCTTGATTTTATCCACAAACAACTGAGCAATATGTGGAACCTTCAACATCTCGCACGTACCATTAGGCACACACAAATTTATCAAGAAACAACCTAACTTTCCAGACATTATCACGCGGAAGCCTTGAAGCATATACTTTCCATTCGTAATGTGAACTTTCACCTTCATTTCCCTCAAGTACATTAGCCACTCCACCAACACACTAAAAGCTTGTCTTATCTTTATCATATCTGTATTGCTTAATGTCTCGGCCAGTCTTGAGAGCATAATCTAGAACACAATCCTTGAAAGCTACTCCATTGAAGAAGTTCTGATCCTTGTACAAGTGTCCATTACTATGCCTCACAGGAGTCCTCATCTTCGGTTTCTTCGGAGCTTCATCTTCATCATCCTCGTCTGAACTATCACTCTCACTTTCTGGAACCACATCATGTCGAACTCGTGGTTCATCGACAAAGTCCTCAACCATTTGTTCGATCTCAAAGGCATCTCTCACTATAGATTCTTCATCATACTCGCCGCCCTCTTCGTTTCCTTGGAACACCGACAGCGACATCGCAATTCGTTTCTCACGATTTCAATCTCTGCTTTCTCATGATTTCAATTTCTGTGTTTTTAGATTTGGGGATTTTTCATTTTAGGGTTTTCAATTAGACATGAATTTCATTTAGAGTATATTTTTGGTCGGGTCCGGTTATGATTATTAGGTCTCGGGTTTTCAATTAAGTTAATCGGGTGTAATTGGTTCTTAACCCGGTTAATAATCGGCTTAATATGGTTTAACGGTTCGTTTAAAAACAGTAAACCAATAAAAATCGATTTTGTGGGTTTATAGATTTCAAATTTTAATCTCGGGGATAAATAGCACGAGGTTATAGTTCCGTGAACATTTGGTGCTATACGATACTTCCCGTGGGGAAATAGATCGTCGTCCCAAATTGTATTGGTTTATTTTTCTTAGAACTCATATGAACTTTCACTTTTTAATTTTAATTTTATTTGTTATTAACTACTATTTAAGTTATATCTCCAGTATCATATTTTCTAAAAACATCTCTAACTGTATTATATTTTTTTCTTCTACACACAAATTAGGGGTGGGCGTTCGGGTATCCATTAAGGTTTAGTTCGGATCTATTCGTGTTTCGGGTTCTCTGAGTTAGAGATTTCAGCCCCATTCGGGTATTTATAAATTTCGGTTCAGATCTTTGCAGGTTCGGTTCGGGTTCGGATAACCCGTTTAAATTATTTTTTAAAATTTTAAAATTCATATATTTTAAATTTCAAAAATAAAAAATTAAAATGATATATAACATATAAATTTGAATAATATATGCCAAATAGCTTAACTTAACATAAAATTTGGTTTGACATGGATATTTGGATGGATAATCAATAGATTTTTTTTAAGTATTGAAGTTTTCTTTGTATTGTTTAGTTACTTTAATTATTTACTTTTGACTATTTGTATATATTTTCACATATATTTGGACAACATTTTTGCTCGAAAAAAAAAATTTGAACAACATCAAAATATCTTATACATTTTGATATTACATCTAAAAATAGCTAATGTAGTCAAGTATATAAAACTAATTCAGATATATTCGGCTACCCGAAGTATTTCAGTTAGGATTGGGTTCGGTTTCGGTTCTCTAGATACCAAAATTTTGAACTCATTCGGATATTTAACCAATTTCGGTTCGGAATCGGTACTATCTTTTCGGATCGAATTCGATTCGGTTTTTTGGGTTCGGATTTTTGGCCCAGCCCGAACACAAATTATAAAAATATCATGCACTAAATCTTACGCTAATTATAGACGGATGAATATTATTTCTCCAAATATATAGTACCACTATTCTTTTATTCTATTTCTAGTGTTGAATTTTGTTTTAAAAAGTGGTCTCTCACTTTTATGAATTTTTATTTTATACGTAAATAAAATTATATATCATAAATTTGAATATTTATATGTGGATTAGAGAAGCGTGGACATGGAAAATATGTAGAGGATAAAATTTATTATATCTTCTAAAATGAATAAAGAACTTTAACATAAACAAACAATTCTAACAAAAAGTAGAAATAGTAAAATGTTTATTCAAGTGTAAATTTTTATGATTTTTAATATTCAAAGTTATTATTTCAGTCGAGGATGAAAAAGTTGTGGATATATATTTTTATGGAAATATCTGGTTAGGTCATGTGAATTATGGACACAAAA